TTGAAGGAATTTTGTAGGAATTTCATAGGATATGATTTCTATAGAAAAAATTTCCTTTAGAACTTTTTACTTTGTAGGAATGGAATCTTATTGCCATGGAGGAATTCTTCCTATCATTCACATTTCGTAGGAAAATAAACATTAACCTAGACTTAATGGAAAAAAATCCTATGATATGAATCAAATGACATCTCCTTTCCCATTCCTACTCATAAGATTTGAGATACATGCCATCTCATTTTCTATGACTTTTCTATTCCCATAATTTTCCTACCCTATAAACCAAAGAAGGCCTTACATTTAGGGCATGTTTGGTTTCAAATAAGTCACCAACTTATAAGTCAAAAGGTAAAAAAAGTGACTTATTTTGCCAAACAGACCCGACTTATAAGTCACCCCAACTTATAAGTCATAAGTTGCTCCACCCCAACTTAAAACTTATAAGTCACCCCCTTTTACGTGGGTCTCACCACCTTTACATAAAAAAACAAGGTGGAAAGGTGTGATCAGGTGACTTATAAGTCAGATGACAACCAAACAGACGTGACTTATAAGTCACTGGTTTTAAGTCACCTAACTTATAAGTCAGGTGATTTACTGAAACCAAACAGAGCCTTAGGAACGGAGGAAGTAATAACTAATGAGCATCTGCAACCACGTTGGATTAATTTGGTGTCCTATATGTCCGTGGCATTCGAGCGTGTCCGTTTTGAGCCATTATTTATCTGTGCACTGCATACAACCATGTCCTCCAAATTGTCTGGACACATATATGTGATTAGTAGGGATGAAGAGAGAAAGAGAAAAGAAAGAATAAAAAAAGAGAAAAGATGGTTAGAGGTGGGCCAAATCCGATGTGACGGACTACCCTAACACTCTCATCTCCTCCCCACTTATGGGAGTTTAGGGGTTTGTGGATAGCTCAAACATATAAGAACGAGATAAAGATACTAGTTGGATGGCATTTTTTTTCTTCTCTTCCATGTTCGGATTGTCCACCCAAACATACGAGAACGGTTTAAGGTCTCAGGCTATGGATGCTCCAAGAGCATTACTAGTAGTACCCCTAAACCCTCAAATCCTCATAAATAACCGCTTTTTTGCGGGTTGCAACAAAAAAAACGCAAAGACTAGAACCCCTAAACCCTCAAACCCTCAAAAAAGTAAGGGTCCAACCCTCAAATCTAATTTCGAACCGTAGAAGTGAGGGTTGGAGGGGGGCGCCCGACCCCAGCCCGCACTCCCTTCCCCCGTCACGCGGGAGGGAAGTTTCCCGGCCTCCCGCGCCGCCGGCCGTCGCCCGCCGCCAATCCGGCCGGCCCCCCGCCTCCCCTCGACGACGCCGCCGTCCCGCCCCTGCGCCACGCTCCCCGCCGCCGGATCCGCCCTTCCTCGCCTTCCCTCGACGCCCCCCGCCTCCCGCCCCGCGCCCCGGCCCCCGGCCGCCCCGCCCCGAGC